ATTGTGTTGAAAAACAGATGACCAATGAAAGAGACTTTAATAGGCAGCGTGTTTTTGGCAGAGCTATAACCAGCCCATTTTTCAACTACTGGATTTTGCCCTGCACAGTGAGCACAGTTTAAGGCTGGGAGGAGAGGTGCAAAGAAACAAGGAAGCTGGGTTGTTAGTATTTGGTGGTCCGCAAGAGCAAGCTAAATACTCGGAGTACCCTTTGTACTTTATATATATATATATATCCTTTATTTAACCAGGTAAAAGACTCATTGAGATTAAAATCTCTTCTCCAAGAGCGACCTGGCCAAGAGGGGCAGCATGTACGAAGTTACAACAGATACAACACAGACATGACAGGCAGACAAATACAGCTGTAAAACACAAATAAAATGGCACATTAGCCAGTCAATATGCCAAGTAAAACAAACTATTACAAATCATTCAAAACTGGCAACATTTAAAACGATTTTAGGATATACGAGCACTCACATCTACCAATGGTGTCGTGTTCTGTCCTTTAAGATGGACCTGAACTCCCCCATAGTGATTACATCTGAGAGTTTCATCTCCTTCTGTACATTGTTCCAAGCTGTGGGGGCAGCATATTTAAAAGCTGTTTTACCCAGTTTTGTTCTCACTGTAGGAACCAGCATCTGTGCAACAATTAAAGAAGGATGCATACAAAGTAAGTTTGCGATTAGAACAATGATACATGACCTGGGGTTTGTTAAGCCTTTTTGCTTGTTGGTGCGTTTTGTCGCAGTAAATCAGAGTGATATCAAACTTCGAATTGACTTTTCACAAGCAAATACATGTAATGGTTAAACTACGACTTTATTCTTATTTAAAGTCGTTTTAGTAAGAGTTTTTAGTGCTTGTTTTGGTAGTGTTAAACATAGCTTTGTTTCTTAGTGTGACTTTGTGAAGGTTGAATAAATGTGATCAAGCATTAAGCTAGCAGAATAGCAGGATTCTAGTTTCTTAAAAAAACATTCAGCAACAAACAGTTAACAGCAGGCTAATCCATACAAAGGTATGGTTTTAAATGCCCTGCTTTGGGGCCCCTTAACATGTAGTGTTCGCAAAGCGCTTTTGTAACGTTTGCAGTCCCCATTAGTAGCCTTCAGAGTGTATGCTCACATCGCTGTCTCAGGGATGAGGCTCAGCAGCTAAACTGGGTCATTTGGAACACCAACACATCAACCAATTATGGCCAATTAATCCTGCTATCTCCGCCCTGGATCTCTCTATTTAACTGGCCTGTTCTGCTCCATTTGACAAGTATTCACTGTGACAGCTGATGTAGCATTTCTTTCTCTCGTCTTTCTCTCTCACACACTAGCACACATACTAGCAATAATAGTGACTGGCCCAGGGCTCAACAAGGCTCTGCAGCTTAAAGAGCAGAGATGATTCACACTGCAGAGATCTATAGGGTGATGGAAACGTATGGAATCACAAGGTTACCGCCAAAAAAACGAATATCAATTTCAGACCCAGGCATTTAGATTAATTATTTTTTACTAATTGGGGTTTACTTTTGTAGTTTTCACCATTATTTCTATAAATGATAACAACATTATAGTCACCAAATTAGTAGCTGAGATCAGGGGCCAGTGTAAAGTCGCTTCTTAACCTCCCAGTTACTCGGAACAGAAAAACAAAGTGCTTGTAACAGCGTGGTCTTATAATAAGACTTATTATTTTTCCACTTCTTGTTCCCTCTTTGAATTGTTGGATGCTGGAAATAAGCTTTGTTGTGGGTGTCCCAAAGCTTCTTTGTGTCTTGGGGTGACAAAATGAGACTGCTAACATCATCACGGCCAACTCAAGTCTGCCTTTAGCTTAGCGGTGGTGACACGTAGCCATGCGGCCGTCATGTTTAAAGCCTAAAGTCAGCTTCTGGACATTGCATTTAAGCTTCAAAAAATATATAAGTGGTGATAATATGAGATTATCCTGCTGAACAAAACATGCAGGTATCACAATGTATGTTTGCCACAGATCTTATTTTCCACAATATTCTGAAATCCAATGGAATAATCTAATTGATATTTTGTCGAGGGAGCCCTTGTGATGGTTACTCCTGGGTCAGCCTACCCAGGATTAAGTGATAAGCCTCATTTAACCACTCTATAGACCTCTGTTTGTGTCCAGGTGAAACCAAATCCACTGTAATGAATAATCAGGTACATATTGAAGTATTGGAAATGTTTTGTTGGCAGGGTTGACCTCTGTGTTGTCCCTCAGCTGTCAGCACGGGGCCCTCCCCCTCATTCAAAGGAAGAGGGGAGGATGTTAAGCTCTGCTATCAGTACCGCTCAGGTCTGAGTGGATCATCACATTCAGAAGCCCTTCAGCCACAGCAGCTGGAAGTCACTTTGTTGCCAGTGGATCTCCAAGAAGCCGGCTTCTCTGCAGAGCTACTCAACAGGCGCTAGAATGGGTTAACCTGCAGTACGCAGATAGGTTCATTTAACTTGTACGGGTTTCTCTCGAAACTGTACTTACGAAAATAAATGCGTCATGTCAAAGAGAACCAGAAACCTTGGAGAGTCCGCCTATTCTTGGCCTAAATAAATATAGCAGCAAACATTTGTACCCGTTTGGCCATTATTAAATAGACTGGGAGAGTTGGGGAGTAGAATTCAATGCCGACTGACTGAAAATATTAAGATCATTTAACTGTAGGTCTCCCAACCTTTTTCCAGGTCTGTATAAATACAGTTTTCTCACCTTAATACTAGAATGATGAAGATACCCTTTTGAACAAATCAGTAATCCAGCAAAGTAAACATCAATATGTATTTTATTTCAAACAACATTGCCAACGTATCATTGAAGGCTAACAGTTTAAAAAGTGCATTTATTTTAAAATGTCTGCCAGGAAAATGCACTCAGGTCTTAAAAATAAACAAAAGCATCTTGAAGACATTACCTCATTCACATTTTTCTTCCTTGTGATATATGTGTCTGACATCTTAAAATGGCGTTATGTTTTCATATTTTAAATCAAATAAAAGACCAAAACTCTGTGACTTCCTGTAGCTCTCAGCACCAAGCCCATTGGTTCCTACTCAAGACATCAAAGTTGGCTCATAGAAACAGTATACAGATGAATAAATATTTCAAACACTCAGTCATTTCTTATATCAGCTGGTAACTGTCGTTGTTATCAAACCAACAGGAGTGAATATGAATAGGCTGATTCCTAACCTGTGGTATAGTGATTTCTGGCTCGGGCAGGACGCTGTGTGTGGCATCGAGTCAAACATAAATTACTTTTATAGATTATTTGTGTTATCTCTTCCAACCTTGAAGCTGCATGCTAAAAAAGGAAGTTTAACAAAACAAAATGCAATTTGTTAGCGGGATACATTCCTTTAAAAAAATAAAAACAACCTGCTGGGCTGCCAAAGAAGGTGCCTGGTTTGTCAGAAGCACCTCCTCTTAAGTTGCTTCATCATCCTCTCCTCTCCTGCAAATTCGTATTGATTGACCTCTTATCAAGCTTGAGTGAGTGTGTATATTGGTCCATGGATGTGTCCATATTGTGTTGGTTATGTGGGTGTGTGTGAGTCATATGAAATCCTCCCTACCACTTCCTGGAAAACAAGAAGCTGCAGTAACGACACACGAGAGAATGTGTGTGTGAATGCAGGCATATGCAAGAGCAGACTGCTATGTGCAGGGCTCCGTGAGTGGGCCTTTATTTTATTATTCATACTGCTGTATGTGGTTTCTCTGTGTAAGCCATTTGCATTCATGTAATGCAGCCTATTACAGACCTGCTGCACTTTCATTTCCATTCAAGATATCAAAGGTTTAATGTCAGATGTGTGGGGGCCATCTTTCTGAACATAACATGTTTGTTCTGTCGCTCTGTTGTACAATTATTGAAATCAAATACTGGGCTGAAAACAAGTGAAGGTCAAACATGTCCGTGTCTTTCCCGGAAATAAAAGTATGCATCGCTAAACAATTGAAATGTTTGCATGCACAAAACAGTGCACGTTGTCACACAACAGTCAGCATGCAATTCATATTTGACATCATTAGAACATTATCAGCTACTGTCTAAAGAGAACTGTGGCATGAAAAAGTGAATGGTCATCATTTCTGTTCTGGAAATGTCCTTCACATTGTTACTATAACCAGGCAGTCCGTTGCCGGCTGTGCACATAACAAAATGGTCTGATTCAGCAGATTATCTCAAGGTCGGAGGGCCCTTTTAACCCCGGCCCCTCTGTCGTGGCCCTGTTGACTGTCCAACAAGTGAACCCTTTTGTTTCCTTCAGAATACACATAACACGTCGGCTCATCCACAATCCGACCATGGTTGACAGAAAACATGTTTATTGTCACATCATTATGTTCCTTCAATTTAAATAATGTCAAAAACTATGAGCATTTTCTGAAAAAAAGAGAGTGGGATTTCTATGAGCACTGGTGCTGATTGGCATGCAATTTGGCTCCAAATAATAAAATGCACTCTCTGATTGGACTCCAAACAAGTGCTGCTGAGTTCTAAGTGCAAGTGGCTTACAGTACATGCAGCTGCTTGTCTATGCATATGGTAAAGAAGAGCTTATCATGAGTCCCCCTATACATAACATAGTGGAATCAAAGGAACATCTCATTATGGTACTTACAGAGGCTCTGCCTTAATTACATTGTTGCCTAATCTTATTATAGCTTTTTGATCGATGGCAACGTTTGAAAACCTGCCTGTGGTCGTTCTGTAATGGCTGTCACTAGAGGCTGGTGCAGACATACTGCGTCAGCAGTCTCTGAGGGCTTTTTCCAATTAGTTAGTTCCTGTCTAGCTCTAAATAAGGCATGTGGCTCCTGAAGTGTCAATCAAATGTGCTCCTGCTTCTCTTTGAGGTATTTACACTTGTTTGCAGTTAATTGGTTTCAGCCGTAAGATGTAGACCTCCACTAGTCAGAGGTCACAGTTTATTTCACAGTCAATTTGCTAAAAATCTCATTCTGATCTCCTGCAGGTTGGAGTGGGTGGAAATCATCGAGCCGCGCACGCGGGAGCGCATGTACGCCAACCTACTGACGGGCGAGTGTGTGTGGGACCCTCCGCCGGGCGTGTGCATCAAGCGGACCGGGGACAACCAGTGGTGGGAGCTGTTTGATCCCAACACCTCGCGCTTCTACTACTACAACGCCTCCACCCAGCGCACAGTGTGGCACCGGCCCCAAAGCTGCGACATCATCCCCCTGGCCAAGCTGCAAACTCTGAAGCAGCACACAGATGCCTCCATCCCCCGCCCCACCAGCGGAGGAGGAGGAGGAGGAGAAGGAGGAGGAGGAGGAGGAGGAGGAGGAGGAGGAGGAGGAGGAGGAGGAGGAGGAGGAGGAGGAGGAGGAGGAGGAGGAGGAGGAGGAGGAGGCAGAGCGTCGGCTGAAAACAGCCCGGGACGAAACAGCGGGGTCAGCCGAGAGGGAAGCACCTCCTCCTCCCTCGACCAGGAGCTCTCTGACAAACAGGGCAACAGAGAGGAAACAGACAGGTAAGATCTCAGGTTGGTCACTTGATGAGTCACCTGAACGTAGGCTCTCCGATAGATTCCTTACAAGCAGAAAACAAATTCAATATTTTGGAAGTCCCTGCTAGGAAGTCTAGCCAATCCCTGCTATCATGTCTTCAGTTTCCTTTTTTATTTTGAAAGGTTTTCTCCCCCTGTGTCATGTCTGGTTTCCCGCCTGTTGTGATCGTCAGCCCCACCCTGATTTTTCCACCTGTTTTGTAATCACCCTGCTGCCCTTATGTGTTTACCTAGCTTCTTCACCTGTGTCTTGTCACTGTGATTATTCCTGTGTGTAGACTTGCCTTTATTCTGTGTGTATATCTGTTTGTATTCATCGCTGGCTGATTCCTCGTGTTGCCATCCTCCTTCTTTTGTTTTCTACTTTTGTTACCTTGCCTGGTTCCCTTGTGTTTTCGTCTCTTCCAGTTTTTGCTATCGGCTTTGGTTTTTTGTATACCTCCTAATCTCCTGCTAAAAGTGTGACAAACCTACTCTTCTTGTTACTTGACTGTTGGTAATCCTAGCTGTGTGATGGTTGAAAACAACATCTCAGCCAGTAGTCAATGAGCGGCTAAATAGTGACTTAGAAAAACAACATTCTGCATGTGAACAATACAATGTGAATAAGAAATGAGAAGGGGAAGACATTTTCTCACGTGACTTTTATAATTCTCTCTCAACATAAAGTGGCAAGTGTAAGGCCACTTTCTATAAACACAATTCACATGCAACTATTCTAAAGGTCAGAATACGATTTTCTCTCTGTCCTTGTGTCCGCTCTTATCACCACTTCCCCTCCTTTCTGTTTCTGTCACTGTCTATTAATTTCTATCTTCTCTCACCTTCAAACCCTCTCACACACTCACACACACACACACACACACACACACACACCCCCCCCAGTCTTAGTTTTCTCAGTTTGCTGGTTTGCTGTAATCTGCTGCAGTGTGCAGTGATTGGTGGAAATGCCTGGTCGGGGTCACAGTGTCCTGTAAATGTCTTCTTTACTCCAGCAAGGCGAAACACACACACACACACACCAGTTATACACTCAAAGCAGCAGTAAATCATCACTGCTCTTAGAGACCATTAGGCTGCTTGGCTCATCCAGAATATGTATAGTGACAGATGTGCGAGACCAATCCTGCCATTGTAACCCTAACCCTAACTAAGTGCCGACAGACCTGAAACACTGCTGTATCCATCATTGTGAAAGAGCAATAGAGTGGAACAAGAATGAGTTGTAATAGTGTACATTAATGCACACTCTGTACACAATATCTTGCTCTTATTTATTTGATTCAAGCATTGCCAGTTCTGCACAACCCTCCGAATATTTTTACACATTTGAACACATGCTACTTCTCTTAATATCGGCACAGCTTCCCACTTTTCATAACAGTACTGCACATGATTTGTCATAGTATACGGTATGTCGTTTTTGGGTATATCTATTTGTTTTTTAAATCGTTTTTTTATAATAGTTTTTGGCTGTTTATCTTACAATAGATTTTCTTTAACTGTGTTTATGCATGCACCATATACACCAAGGGAAATTCCTCATATGTGTAAACCTACTTGCCATAAACCTCTTTCTTATTTTGATTTCTAAAACCTGGAAATGAGTTGGCAAGGTTTCCCTCATCTCACAGTCAACGTTTTTCGAAATGTTTTTTTGTTTAGAAGCCTGAAATAAGATTTGTGGTTAATACAAGTGTTTGAGATTTCCATGTGTTCTTTTACTCACCACTTTATGTAGACTGGGAGCTGAGTGTCAGGCAGATGGTCTCTGGAGGGATGGATGCTGTAACAGAGGGAGCTGTGACCTTACACAGCCCTACCTCCCCGCACGCACCAAGGGTCCAAACTAAAGGGGGAGGGAGGGAGGAGGACAGAAACTAGGATTTTAGTTTAAGTCCTTCTGTTGTATGTCAGAATCAATCCGCAGACATACTGCACAGTGAATTCATGTTGCCAGAGGACATTTCATATTGTGCAAAGACGTGCATACACACACTCAGAGTACACTCAGAGACACACACAAGTATTATTAGAAAACTACAGCAACTGTTTTATCCAAACAGACAATTGGCCCAGTGTGTAGCAGGCTTCTTTCTCACGCCATGCAACTGCTTCCAACACTTTATTGAGTATGCCTACTACTGTCTGAAAGTGTTTGCCAATACCATTATTTGTACTATCCTTTTTTTCGAGACCACAAAGACACACAATAGAAATCATTCTTGGAGAGGGATTTTAGCGTCAGCAGGATGCAGTGAGGGGGAGGCCATCCACATTCATTTTAAAAATAGATCAGGAAAGTTCTAACTCCTGCTGATACTTTCATCTCAAACTACTCATTTCTGGAACGGTGATGGCATGACTAGCTAGATGTGCTCTTTGTGGGGAAGTTAGAAATACTGGCCTATAAATGCCCCCACACACAAATATCCACAGCTCTAGCTTTATTGTCTCCCTCTCCTCTAGTGTGTTGTATAGATTGTTGTGCATGTAAATGTTCTACAGAGGCTAAAATCCCTGTGTTCCCTCCAGAGATAGTTTCTCTCGAACACATCCCACCCCCCTGCCTGAAACGCATCCATTGGACTCCTTTTCTTACTTCCGTAACCTAATGACATCACTATGTAACAGTCGAGCTTCTATTTGCTAGCCTTCCAACACATTGTACGTCAGGGGCTTTTCTAGAAAAACAAAGTATGAGGGCGCTGATCTTGTATATAAGATATAGTATAGTATTCGTTTATTAGTCCCCAAGGGGAAAATGGGTTGCAGCACATCACAGAGGCATTTCAAAAAGTTAAGACAATACATCACTGACAACAACATAGACACAGATAAAAACAAACAGACATAAGAAAACCAGATATCGGCAGACATGACAAGGGGCCTATAGGCCCTCATTTGCGAAATAGGGGGGACAGGGCCAGACCAGCTGGGTAAACAGTGCGTCCTAGCCATCATTTGTTCAGGAGTTTGATGGCTTGTGGGACGAAAGACAGCCTAGATCTGTTCTTTTTTAAATAAGGGGCACGATATCTCCGCCCGGATGGCAACAATTCAAAGTAAGAGGCAAGAGGGTGCCTCAGGTCACTCACAATATTGTGTGCCAGTTTTAAAACTCTATATATCAATTCTTTCAAGAACATGGCGCCCGTATACAAGATGGCGCCGCGGACGTATACGAAGCTGTATACGCCGTCTGACGGTCTATTTGACACGATTTTCATATATATTTTACAAGCTGAATGTAAGATAGCACAGCGCCCCTGTTACCCGGTTTAGACTAAATAGACCGTGATAGGCTAAGAAGCGTGTATCTGTAAGAGGTTGACCAATCAAAGCGGAGCCGGCCAGTTGACCAATCAGAGCAGATTGAAAGAAAATATAATTTTTTTTAACCTCTGATGGCTTCAGAAGACTTAAGGCCTAGGGATAGCCATTTCACTGAGAATGTAAAAACTGTTTGTTATTTGTTCTCATTTATTGTAGCAGGAGCACACTGGACTTACCAAATTACAAACCAAGTCCAATATATCATAAATGGGATAGACTCATATTGGTCACTAAAATCTGACATGCTTTAGAATATAGGACACTTGGAAATGACCCCCTGGTTGGTCCCCTAGGCCTAGGTTAACACCCCAGTCACTAACAGCTGACTGAAAAACAGAAATGAATTTCCAGGCAGATGAATGAAGGATAAGAAGAAAAGAACATCATTCATGTATGAGACACAAAGAGAGCTGGTTGGTTGATAGAAAAAGAGGAATGATGGATAAAGAGGAAGCTTGGAGTGGAGAGGAGGATGGACTGAGAGAGAAAGAGTGGGTTAGCTCAGAGTCTGGAGCATGTTGCGATGGATGCCAGGCCCATAATCCTGCCCTCTTTGTTTCCCGCTCTCACTCACACACATGCATATTAACATCAACAAGTAATCTCTCTCACACACACACACACACACACACACACACACACACACACACACACACACACACACACACACACACACACACACACACCCTGCCAGTATTGAGCACTGGCCTTGGGGATCAGTTGTGGAAGTATTTGGACACGGAAGGTGGCCAATGCTGCAATCGATGTCACACTTCCTCCCCTCTTGCCCAGTTCACCTTTTCATCCTCATCCCTCCCCCCTCTCTTTTCTGTCCCAACAAACAAGCAGAATGTGTGGGGCCACTCTCTGAGAGGAATAACTGAGCAATGAGCACTAATAAAGAAAAGTAATATAACTTATATACGAGCCAAACAGACTTCTATAGGATAGCAGGATTTACACTGTTTCATTTCAGTGTTTTGCTTAGGTCTTTTACTTGTCTGTCTGAATTGTCTTCTTAAATACATTTGTATTGTTGCACTCTGGTGTTAAAAAAACAACTGCAGAGTCTAATGGCGCGTTTCCACTGCAGCGGGGTAGCCCCGTTTAAGCGTCCGTCCTCGCTCTGGCCTCGGGCTGCCTCGCTGGCCGGCCCAGGCCGTGGCGCATTTCCATTACAGTTTAGGACCTGGGGTAGCAACGCAGTGTAGGCGGGGCGATCGGCTTTGTTTTTGTTCCCATTTCTCGTTGTTCCGTCGAGCTCCCGCTGGATTTGATCATCCCCAATGAGATGTAGGAACGTCGTCACCTCCTCGGTCGACCACGGTGTGCTTTTCTTATTAGACGTAGCCATTTTTGTAGCTCATCCGTTTACAAAATGCTGTGTATAAAAATGCTGCAAGCTTGCTTCTAGATATATATGCGACGCTAGGGATGAACTCGCGCGCGATCTTGTGACGATTCTCTCTGACCAATCAGCAGTCGAGAGTGTTGACGTCACTAGTTCAGCCCTGGCCCTGGTCTGAGGGAACCACGATTTTATGAGGCCGGAAAAAGAGGGAAAAAGTACCCGCTGGCCGGTACTAGGCTATATGGAAACGCCACCAAAAACCGGCCTGGCCGCTTGAGGACGGTTAAGGACGCTTAAACGGGGCTACCCGCTGCAGTGGAAACGCGCCATAAAAGAGTAAGCTGATAAGCTTTTAAACTCTTGCATCCATAATACAAATTGTACAACCTGGATCAGTAGGCACGCCCACCAATGTTTTCTAAAGGCTGGTTTTCTATTAATGTACCCTGAATAGAACAGCATTATGTTCTGGCATGAACAAGTAGATGGCCCTGTAGATGAATATCACACTTGGCACAAAGAATATAATAATGAAATCATCATTTTAAATGATTCTCCTCTACAAAGCCCCCAAAGTCAGGCTTTAGTTCCAGGGTGATACAGGGGTTACTGGTGTTTCCTAGAGTCTCCAAAAGTCCAATGGGAGCCAGATTATTCAGCTTCAAGCTCCTCTTCTGTGGCACCAGCTCCTAGTCTGGGTTCGGGAGGCAGGCATCCTATCCACATTTAAAAGTAGGCTTAAGACTTTCCTTTTTGATAAAGCTTGTAGTTTTGGCTGGCTCAGGCTTGCCTTGAACCATCACATAGTTATACTGCTATAGGCTTCGAACTGTAGGGTGACTTCTCTTTTCTCTTTTTCTCAATTTGATACACTACATTTCCCCACAATTGCCCCCAAAATGCATGGTACTAACTCAGCTTCCAAGAAATGTGTGTCTCTCTCCTGGCAGGTTGCCAGTATTAAAGGTCACATATTGATCATGAATCATTGCTGCAGCTGTTGCCATGGTCGTGCCTGAGGCCCACCTTCATATTTTTGTTGGCACCTTGAAGATTCTTAATATCCACCTGGATCCATCTTTCTTTCTTTTTTCTCTCTCTTATCATTTCTATCATTTGTATGTCTATGTTGCAGATGTAATAACTTTGTAATCTGTTCACACAACATCTGTTGCTTTGCCCTAAGTCTAAAGGCAAGAGGGTGTTGTTTGCTTTATACACTTTAAAGCCCCCTGTGACAAATGTATCATTTGTGTGTAATAAATAAAAAGCCTAATGTGACGGTTCTTAATCAGTCTTTCTCTTCTCTCAGGACTTCCCCTTTCAGGTGGAACACCGGTACGAAGGAGCGAATGCTAATCAAGGTGACAGACAGAGAGCCCAGCTTCTTGGCCCACCAGGGAAATGGTTACTCTCCCTGCGACCCCCCCACCCCTGGTCCTCCTTCTGGAGGGGGCACCGCCTCACGAACTCGCCGTTGCTCTGGAGGAAACCCTCCTACAGATCCCGAAGGCTCCCCCGTTCTCTACAGCGAGCGTCGTCAGTCTCCTTACCTGAAGCGGGCCGAGCTGGGCGGCACCGGCACCAACCGCCGCTCCTCCGCCGACTCCCAGCCCCCCTCGCCCCGCTACGCCTACGAACCGCCGCTGTACGAGGAGCCGCCATCAGAGTACCAGCCCCCTCCCATCTACGAGGAGCCTCCAACCGACATGCACCTCGCCGACTCCGCCTTCTACGGCACCGGGAAGTCATCTGCTCGCAAGACTTCGGGCCCCCTCTATCACTCCCCCAACAAGGGCCAGTCGCCCTACGGCCAGCTGGTTCTGACCAGGCAAAAGTGTCCAGAGAAGACGCAGAGTCTGGAGTACAGCCCCGTGGGGAAGGAGTACGTCAAGCAGCTGGTATACGTGGAGCAGTCATCCTCCAGCCCCCGCTTCAAGACCGCCGACCGCCTGATGCGTTACGGCACCACGGGGGGCTTTGGGGGCTCATACGGAGGGTCGTACACCCTGCAGCACAGCCAGTCTCTGATCAGGGACCCCCGCCTTCTGCTGGACTACAGTGCGGAGGGTGGAGAGGGGGGCCAGAGGTTGCTCTATGAGGACTCCATATCCTGGACTTCCAGTCAGACCCACTCCCTCTCCTCTTCCTCCACAGGCGGTCCGGGGGCTTTCTCTCCCGGAGGTAACCGTAAACGCAAGAGCCGCAAGCCGTCCCTCCCCCAGGAGCTGGCCCGCTGCGGGGGCCCGGAGGGGGAGCTGACGGGCACAGCCTCCGAGGCCATGCTGGCCCAGGCCCGGCTGGCGTGGGAGGCCCAGCAGGTGATGAAGCAGAGGAGCAGTTGGGACTCCGGGCAGGGCAGGGGGGAGGCCCAGGGCGGATGTTCAAAAGACGGGTACGAGAGCGACGGGGCGCTGCCTCTGCCGTTACCGGGGCCCGTGGTGAGGGCCTTCAGCGAGGACGAGGCGCTGGCGCAGAGCGACGGGCACCACTGGAGGCGGCACACCTTCGACCGGCTGGGCTTCCCGCAGGCCCTGCTGGAGAAGAGCCTCTCCGTCCAGACCAGCCTGGCCTCGCCGGAGCCTTACCTCCACCCCTCACAGGTACTGATGCATGCTGGGAGTCTGTGTCCACATTTAGAGTGCCTGATAATTCCACTTAAAATTTGGGTTTAAATATTTGTACAGATGGCATATTGTTTTGATCATTTGAAAATGTGTTTTACAATGATTTACTTACTTTAATTGAAGTGCATTTGACATTAATAGGAGGTTTAGTTTGTTTAGAATCATAAAAAACCTAGTTTATTATGACTCTACATAATGTAGAGCAGATATATATTATACAACACTTTCAGAATCAAAAATACCTTATGTATACCGAGGGTTATTGGGTTTTGTAAAATAAAAGAATACAATATTTATATTAATATAAAAAGTCAAAATGTACAATTAAAAGTTAAAATACAATAAAATTGAATATTATATAAACATAAGAATTTAAAGTAAAAAATGTCAATACTAAATTTAAAACAAATATTAAATAATACATTATATATTAAAACATAATAAATCATGTGCCAGCATCGACTCAGATTGCCTGACGCTCCTAGGAAGGAATGTAATAGTCTTATGTCCACAGACAGGAATAGTTTCCTGTGGAGCATCTTGGTGGAATAAGTCTGTGATGTTGTTGGACAACATGTTTTGAACAATTTTCAGATGTTTCTGCAGAGCTGTTGGGTTTATAGTATCATCTGAATTATAAATGAGAGCAGAGATCAACTGGATAGCTACAGAGCTGCCTTCACATGATATAAGATTTTCCTCTTTGCTCAGCGTGGCGTAGAGTACGGCTGAACGACATATCGTGTCATGGCGATAACCGCGATATGCGCATGCACGATATTCACATCGCAGGGACTTGCGATTTTATCCAATTTTTTTTCATTCATTTTTTTTAGGACGTGCGATATTAAGTAGGTAAATTAACTCAAACACGTCATGTTACAATTATTTTGCTGCTCGCTACAAAAGGAACACTTGCGTGGCTCTCATGTCAGGGGTACTTGAGTGAGTGACATGCAGGCTCTGCATGCATAGCAAACCACCAATCACAATCATTCTTGATCAGATCACAGCAGGCCCCGCCCCGCTAGTTTGCAGACCATCAAAACACCGGTAAAAAATGAGCGAGGCACAGGAGGACAATACCGGCGAGAATGAAGATTTACTTCCAAAAAGAAAAGCAACATCTGCCATCTGGAACTATTTTGGATACAAAAAGGTTCTTCTCTTCTTCACAGATGAACCCCCTTATTTGAGGGTAAGCAACATGCATTATCATGACATGTTAGATCATGACTTAAGGTATGATGAGTCAACCAGTTAAGATCCAGACGTCCGTGACTAAAATCCTTCATCCGGTTAAATATAGTTAAAAAAAACGCAATATATATCGCAGGGGAAAAAAATATATATCGCAATGTCAGTTTTTTTCAATATCGTGCAGCCCTAGCGTAGAGTCGCCGACCGTGGAGCAGATCAAAGTGCAGCCTCGTACATCACATAGGCAGCTTTACCTGGAACTACTGCCGTCCTTCACACACACACACACACACACACACACACACACACACACACACACACACACACACACACACACACACACACACACACACACACACACACACACACACACACACACACACACACTATGAGTGAACGTCACAGTCAGCGCTGATATTGTCCCTGTGGAAAGACACGGATGTTTCATATAATGTTGCTGAGTCTTACATTAGCTTATATAACAGTCACACTGCTGCCTGGTCCAGTGACACACTTATACTGAAGCACCATGCTTAGGAAACATACACTATCTGTAAATACAATCCTAAAACACAAAAGAAAGGATGTGAAACTACTAATATAACATATCATCCAGGTAAAGCCAGTGAAAGTCTTTGATTAGCAAAAGAAGCATTAGCCTCTGTTGTTCTTGTATGTAGAACATCCATTAACAATGTACATCATGACATAATACATCCAGCTCCACTCTCCTTTTATACCACATAAGCTTCATCAGCAAATGGCACAGTTGTCTTGGAAAGGTAGATGCGCAGACTAAAAGGTGCTCTACATTCCCATGGCAACTGGGCAAACTCATGATAGAATTACAGGAAGCAAATGGACATAAGGGTGATATTGTTTTTATTATATTTTAATTCAACAAATATGTTGCATTTCCTGTAGCAGCCGCCTTCATAATAAAAGCCTCCCCCGGTTAAAGATGGAATGCCTTTAATGTGCAATGAAGACCTTTTTGAACAATAAAGCATGTACAAATTAGTGTAGAGGCACATATACAATGAATGAACCTGAAAAGATGCATGATATGTCCTCTTAAACATATCTGCAGATTTGACATGGTCTCCATGGAAACTTATGCATATACCACTTTCTTTGAATAGCAGGAGGACACCATAACTTTGACTACCTCACTTTTTTGTTGCTTAGCTGTAACTTTAGAGTCTTGTTTGAATCATGAATAAATGAACCCTTTCTCTGTGAATATTGACGTATTTACACGTCACTATTAATCCCGGTTTGATCCCTCTGAGCACTAAAGAAAGTTCTCGGGTCTCTAAATGTTCTGCAGCAGCGTCACAGAGATGAGTAACATGTTCCGTTTCCTCTCTTCCTCTCGGTCTCTCCTCCTCTTCCCTTTGTTTCTCCACCTGTCAGTCGGAGGACCTCGGAGCCTGTGCCCAGTTTGAGGCCAGTCGAAATGCCAGGAATATGATGCCGAGCGCCAGCTGTGGCATTTTCCCAGAATTCACCCTGAGAAAGCCCTCCTCGGAGACAGACATCGAGAACTGGGCGTCCAAACACTTCAACAAACACACACAGGTAGAGAACAGGATGTGTGTTTCTACTTTCTACGTTGTATGGGCTTTTGTTGGTATCGCCGTTTAAGCTATTTCTAAAATTGTCTCCAAAATGTTCTGAAATATACTACAATCTCTTTTTCTCACATTTTAACTCAAATGTCATTTAATGTATATCACTCGTTTTAAACCATAGACTGTATATAAATGGACGTAGTATCCGTGACGTCACCCATAGGATTCTGCAGAGTTGCCGTGAAGCCCTTAGTAGGTTGAGTCGGCCACTAACGGCTCAACTGTGACGTCAGAGTCTAATCCCGCCTGCTCCAAATAAGGGCAAAGAGTACCTGCTGCCTCCGAACTGGAAGTAAACAGAGCTAGCTCAGGCTAAGAAGCTAAGCTAACATGAAATACATGCATACCAAGTTACTGCTAACAGTGTAGTTCCCCTATATAAACGTTACATTCATAATCAAATGAGACAATCTGCAAGAGAATTAGCTATATTTTGTTATTCTTAATGCTTGTCATTCACACGTTGAGAAAAGACAGACTCCACCGCCCGGACCTAACGGAGCCGCAGTGGGCTAGCTCCGGGACGCCGGCTGGAGCTAGCCCCCTGCGGCTCCGTTAGCTCCGGCGGCCACCACTAGGATAATTGGGTCCCCTATTAACATTTGCTCCCGTTTAGCATTATGGGCGTCATAGCCATAGACTATAAAAGTCTCACCCAAGGCTGAATCATAAACTAAAATGTATATGTATGTATAAAGGGTTACGTCCTTAGCTGGCTAATAAGTAACAAGCTAAGCTACCAAGCACACAAACACCTGCGACGGGGTTAACATGTATAATATTATAATTGTAGACTTCTTGGAAGTTCTGTTAGTACATTCAAGCGCACAGCACAACATTTTAATTGTCTGGTATTTGTAACAATATTCCCTAAAAGGCACAATTACCACGAACACGGCTAAAGCTAAAGGGTCAAGTACAGTACTATGACTAACTAACGTTGTAGCCTCTATGGTTGTAGCCTAGCAGAGTGGACAAGTTGCTGTTAGCTGACAGTGAGGCATGTAATTTATGCAAAAGCTTTAAGGCTTAATATTAATTAAACAGATGAGTTGAGAAAAATTCACCCCCCACACACACAGTAGTCATGAAGGGGGAATCTAACTATACAGAGAATATGGTTTTTTGAACCACGATGTAAACATGTTTATTTCTGGGCATTTTAACATGGGGGTCTATGGAAATTGCTCCCTTCTGCAGCCTGCTCCTACTGGCCACTAGATGAACTGCAGTATGTGGCACTTCCGTATTGGCATCCCGGCTCTTCCCCAGTTTGCCGCTTGTTTTAAACCTGGGTCACAGCCAGTATAACAGTTGGTATGGATTTCACTGTTTGTGGAAAACCCTGGAAATGTTTTTGTTTCAGTAATCAGCTGATCACTAATCGGGTTCAGCTGCTTAGAAATAATACATTAGTTGATCTTGAAGGCTCATGCTAGACCTTGAAAAGCAGCATGACCAAAACCTCTCAACACAAGGGGTGTTTCTCAATGTTGAGTAAAGCTGCTCCAGAGCCACTATTTCAAGCATACTACGTCATCGAGTGCCGCCGAAGGACTGTTCCAATGTCCAGCATACTTGGAATTCTACCGAGCCCGGCGTACTTCGTTTGGAGAAATTTCGAGGCTGCACATGTGTAGACTCCGCGGTCTTAAAATCCCCACAATGCTTTGCGCACGGACCAATTTCCCCAAATCTGTGGCGGAAAATGTAAGGCGGGGCCTCTCCATATGACGCATACATCGCCTGTTCCACTCTTCGTTTTCCGAATGCCAGGAAGTATTCTTGCCTCGCTTCTGAAGCAAGACGCTCGGAAGACATGTGCTACCAAGCAAGCATACTCGACATTGAGAAACACCCAAGGTCTGTGAATTCCCAACTTTCAGGAACTAATGATTGAAATAAAGGCTATTTAAGTGTTCGTAACTGGGATGTATTTCCCATGACGGAGCCGGAAGATGAGCTCACACGGTATCTTAAATGTTTTCAATTGACCAAACATTTTCAATGAACTTTCATGAACTGAAAACACACTGTAAAAGGGTAAAAGTTCTAAGGCAAAAACAACACCTTAAAAGTTCATAGATATTTAAATGCACACAGTGCCATAATTACGCATTGACACGCCTATTTCCGGATTGACAAGTTGCAGTAGTAGCCTCTGCTTGAAGGTCTATTTGACTCCAAATGGGATCATCATTTACTAAATGAACATCATGCTGTATTGAAGAATACAGCATGATGAAACTAGAGATTGAGACTCATTAAGAAAGTGATGACTGAGTTAAAAAGGGAGCAGGTTTTAGACACTTCTGCATTGGCGTCACAGTTTAGCTAGCAATAGCTAACAAGGCCCTAAGGTCTCAGGCCGCTCCCTCTCCATGCAGATGATGGAGGGATCAGATAAATCAGTGTCTAATAAAAGGTGTAGAAAATAGTAGTCCTGGTTGCTTTGATGAGACAAAGAAAAATAAGTTACACTATGAGAGGAGTAAGGGTTTTTCACAATTGGCTAGAATGTGTCGCCGACCTCCGCATAAGCATTTTCGGACTGATTTCAATCTGTGCGAATGCATAAAGCCACGTGTTAAAGCCAAGTGTTAATCGATGCAGCAGTGTTGGCCTCTCATTGTTTCTGTCAGTCTTGTTACACTTTGAAAGCATTTCACATATTACAGCTTCGACTGTTGGCAGCTGATCAGCAGCATCTCATGGTTGAAACATTAGCTTGAGGGCAGCGTTTGCTTTTGAACGATACACTCAGTTATCTTATCTCTCAGCCAGACCATTATTTTTGTGGTTATTGGTCCACATTCACTGTCAGTTTTCCCAGCGCAGACTCTTATTCCTTGTCATACACCTTTAGAATTGTTTGATACAACAAAATTACACACATTAGTATTTCATTAAACATCTTGACTTAAAGTGGACCTATCATGCTATATTTGAATAATATATTGTAGGGCCATACCTATACAAAACATGTCTGCGAAGCTTTTTTTTCAAAATACCAAACAGATCATGCATTTTAGCCATGCCTCATTTCGCTCTATTTGCTCATTTTTAGCCCTGTTTTTGCAAGGGCTGAATCTGTGAGAAGTCTTCTTCGCAGCTTTTGTGGCAGACTACAGCGCCACCTACAGGCCTGGCATATGTACTACAGCGTCTCCAGCGCTTTCGAACGGCAATGGCCGTGGCTATCTCCTCCTGATAGGTGGAGAGTTGCCCATATAGGCGGAGTTCCTCGTTTCTGACGTCAGAGATATTTCAAATCTGGATCAGTCTGTATCAGATCCGTTAAATCCCCGTTTTTAGAGATTTGGGTATGGAGGAAAAGAGAGAGGGTTGTGTTTTCTGACACTTGGTGAGTTCCCTGACAGACCGGGGACACATATTAATGTATAGAAGCCGTACAAAAGTGCATTTTGCATGATAGGTCCCCTTTAAGTTAGTCATATAAAATGTTTCTGCATTTTCCTAATGCCTTGGTTATTGTTATACATAAAGGGGGGAAAACATCTTTACTCAAAGCTAATAATAGACTTTGGGGAGCAGTTAAATGAAAGTACAATACAAAGTTGAGACTAAGTGATTTTGTCACATTAACAATGTACATTAAAAAAAGCTGCCATTCTACAGGTTTTAGGTTAATTGTTGTTCTGCATTTTTTTTTTGTATTCACTGTAACTTATGTATAGGATGTTGAAGTCATACAAAACGATGCCATCTTACTGTACACCAAACTCCTACTGAACGTTTGTATTTCCTCTATAAGCATGAGGATATCTTTCTATCTCTAACCCTCTCTTTATTTCTCTCCATCCCTCTCTTCTGTTTCAGGGTCTCTTCAGAAGAAAGGTGTCCATTGCCAACATGCTGGCCTGGAGCAGTGAGCCCATCAAGAAGCCCATGATCGTGACGTCCGACCGCACCGTGAAGAAGGAGGCGGTGGACATCTTTAAGCTCATCCAGAACTTCATGGGGGACCGCCGCTCCAAGGCCGACACCCTCGCTGTGGCTCTGGAGGTCAGTGCACATCAACGCTCACTTCATCCATTCCTTATTCTCATGAACTTCATATCCTTCTGTAGTCAGGTCTAGTCAAGAATACTGACTCTGTGGACAAAAAATAACTTGATAGGCTTCTGTTTGTCAAGGCCTTAAGCCTCAGGTAAATCTCTCCTTTACATTTTCGCACCATTTATTTATCTTCTTATTTTCTCCTCCCTGTTGTGTGATTTTTTTCCAACGCCCCTCTTCCTATTGTAAAGCATCCCTGGGTTTCATGAAAGGCGCTATATAAGTCCAAGTCATTATTATTATTAGTGATGTTGCTTTCATTTGAATGATGTCCTTGGTCTGAACATTTCACAAGATGTACAGGCTTAGTGACATTAAGGCACTTTATCTATTTTTATTTTGAAGAAAAGCAAAAGATACACATAAAGGAGAGTTTGATGAAATGATAATACTAGCTCAAGCATAACATAGAATTTGAGATCTATAGAATGGCTTTAGATTATATAGCACCTTTCATACAAGAATTGCAGTTCAAAGTGCTTCACAGTAGACATCTCTTAAAATACTCACTGAAAATTGATATTGCATAGAATACAGTTACCAGTAAAGGACATACAAACAAACTTAAAATAACATGGAATAGACATACAATAATTAATGTAGACTAAAGTTACAACGATAACATTGTGCATTAAAAGGAGGATAGTGCAAATTCAAAACACAAAATCAGCTGACAGGTTCAAATGCAAGTGCGTTGAGAAGCAGCAGAGAACGGGAGTTAGCTTCCTAAAAGGCTCAATTGTACCAATATGTTTTGATGTTAACAAACTGAGCCAGGATCAGTCTGCTCCCCTCTCTGCAATGAGTGCACAGCGAGGCTTCACTAGCTCCTAGTGTCCTTGTTGACAGTGTGACTTTGAGAGGGAGCTTTCAAAACAACCAAAGGCCTCATTTATAAATCGGTTCGTAGCATCTTTACAAAGCGTTTTCCTCCAGACTAAAATAGTCATTCCACTGCAAAAATCCACCTAATTCAGATAACTGTTGAAGCCTGCATGTATGTCCTTTTTAGAAATCACAATCAAACAATGCATGTGCATGAGCCTCACATTCGGCCCACCACACTCCCATGATTATTCATTAATGGCCAATGCAAAACCTTTCATGAATATTGATGCACATAATGAGTGGAAAACAGCAGCCGTTTTAGAAACAAACAATATTCTGAGAGGCTGATGGCTGCAGCAGCTGCTGATGCAGTTTTATAATTGACAGAGCCCCCCACCCTCTTCTCTCTGAGTATGTGGCCAGTATAGACTGTACATATATAGTGTTCCTCAATAGTTTGATTATTGTTTAGTAATAAGTCACAACCCCACATTTATAAGATTTGATATGTTCTCTATCTTTTACAATGGAGAGGTTATGATCAAGTGGACCAATGATCAGAATAAACAAATAAACTGAAATGTCAGGTCAGTTTTTTTCGTAACTAAATAAGTATGCGGGAGGAAGTGGGGAAGAACCCCCGACAATACGCTGCTCTGTGTTTTCCAACACGTTAACCATGGCAAATTGAAACTTGCATTTATTAAGTTAATTTGCACTTTGATTGCTACAGAACAAGTTGTACACACCATAACAGTGCTTCTCAAAGTGTGGTCCGCGGACCACTGGTGGTCCGTGGGCGCCCCCTAGTGGTCCGTGAGTATATTGGTAAAATGTCACATTTGAAATACATTTATTTATTTAAGTTTTCCGCACTCTCGCGGGAATATCTCCGCAATGGAGCGAGTTTAAGTTTCACTTTCGATTGCATGATATAGCCCAGCGCAACACCTTCATCACACATGTTACCACTTGTTTGTACCATTTTCAGGCGATTTGTAAAAAAACGATGTGTTTTGGGATATTTGTGGAGTTAGGTGGTCCGCGAGTGTTTTTTTATTGGTTAAGTGGTCCTTGGTATGAAAAAGTTTGAGAAACACTGCCATAATATGATCACCTTAGAGGTAGATGCTATGTGTCATTGCCTTTGACACAGTCAGCCTACGCAGAGCCACATTCTCATTCATTGGAAATGTGCTCAATACCCACGCTGTCTCTTTGGCTGCTCACTGCTCTATGTTCATCTGCTGGTCTCTGGCTCTGTTGTTTACATCCTCCTGCTTATTACACTGCTATTTACTTCATAAATCAACACTTTGACTGGCAACATTGATGTCAAATGATTTGTTTGATCATATTATATTTTGTTTGTCTACCCTCCCTCCCAAATGTAAAGCGTCTTTGGGTTCAAGAAAAGCGCTATAGAAATAAAATGTATTATTGCTTCGCCTAACAAAAACAACAGTCCATTCAGCTTGAATCAAGCACTGATCACTGATCAGCACTGATCGAGGTTTCCTGTCTGTTCACATTTTCTTTCCCTTGAACCAGTCTTTAAACACACCCACCGTGTTCCTGTTAGTGTTTACTTCCTGTCTGTCTTCTTCTGTTGATATTTCTGTCGTCCAGCACAATGTCTTTTAACCTCTGCTTTTCTTGTTCTGTTTTCTTTTCTATACTGGGGACAGTTTAACCATCATTCATTTTAAGTTTCGGGCTCTCCACAAAAATATAAGAATGAGTATTCAAAAGCTATTCCGTGGTGGTTCCTGATAGAGCAAAACAAATGCCGTTTTTTTTTTTATCCATTGCTGACGTTCTGAACTTCTTTCTACGGATTGATATGACTGCACATAGTCCTTTGATCAGAGTATCCTTAGCAACGGTCTGCTATCAAAATAGCAGAAAACAAAATGTCCAAATCGACTTATTAGAATCTAGTATTCAGCTATGCGTGTAATAAAACTGTATATTTATCGACATTTACAGTCACGAATTGACATTGATAAAGCCCCTTCATGAACAGAGGAAGTGACTGGCTCTGTGTGTGTTGGTCAGGTGGTGGTGCGCGGCTGGAGTAACCAGGGTCTGCGTGATGAACTCTACATCCAGCTGTGCCGCCAGACCACGGAGAACTTCCGCTACGACAGCCTGGAGCGGGGCTGGGAGCTGATGGCCATCAGTCTGGCCTTCTTCCCCCCCACACCCCGCTTCCACGCCTACCTGGAGGGGTACATCTGCAGACACATGGACCCCCAGAACGACACCAAGGGTGGGGAGCATCACACACTCTCATTCACTGCTACTAACACAGCTTCACTATCAAACAGCTGTACAGTACACTGATTATTCTGTGGCAGTGCAATTGCTGCTCATCAATACAACTACACTGATTTACATTTTGAAGATGTTAGAGAGGAAAATAATGGAGGAGGCTTTCACGATGGGAGGATATTGATCTACAGGATGGAATATCATCCTGAGTGATACAGAGATACAATCCAACATTTTTTGTCAGATGAGTTACTACTTGTCTTTTAAACAGGAAATCAATGGCGCGCAAACCCTGGTCCCATGTAGAAGATCAGTGTGTGTAACACGAAGAACATGTCATTTACAAAATAACATCCCATAACCATTGTCTGTGAGCAGTTGCTGCAGGAGATACACTCCCTCACACTTCATATTCATGCTGTAGCTGTGCTCTGCTGCCCTCTTCAGGTGAACAGAGGGAGGAACAGGTTACTGCTGCATTAGGCTTTTTAACTCCACCTTGATGTATACAGAGGGAGCTGACAGTCCACTTTGTTAATAATAGAGCTATATCATTCATTTTATTTCTATTTATTTATTGCCATTTATTTTTAAATTAAACAATGATACAATCATTACAAGCCAATACAAAAAAAAACTAACATACATGCTCAATGTTGGCACATATTTTCTGAGGGCAGGTAAACAGCAACAGAAAAAGCTCAGATATATATATAATATTTTAGAAGAAATATCGACAATATGTCTCTGTAAAAATATTGTATACATCTTATAATTGCCGGATTGATGGAAGAATTTATACTCATGGCTCATTTGAAAACCAGATTGTTCATTGGTTTCATTTTGTGTATAGGCTTTCATAATCTCATAAAAACATATTTATTTATTTTCACAATTCTCAAAGGCTAAAATTCTTTGAATGATTTGTCAACGTTGGTATATTTAATATACTGATGTAAAAAGATAATGCAATACAATAATACATTTCTGTAAATAACTGTTATAATTTCTGTGTTTTTCAGGGGTGGCCATTAGCAGCTATGCTAAATACTGCTACAGGAAACTGACTAAAGCTGCTCTGACTGGTGCCAAGAAGGTGAGCAGCTGTCCGGCAGTCCTCAGGTTCCTAAATGTGATAGGAAGCCCTTAAACCAGGAGGCTGTTACAGCACATGAATAAACACATTAGTGTTTGTGTGGGAGGGCGGGCAGCAGCTTGGCTCAGAGCCTTTGCAGCATTTGGTGCCAGAATCTCTGCAGGTCACTGACAGATATTTGTCACATTTAGTCCGCAGTGTCCAACAGGTGTTAAGCTGCTTCCCTCTAAGAGCACAGTAAAGACATGCCATCCTGTGGATGGAATAACTTGTTTCTCATTGAGAAGTCTTACAAATCTTTAACAAGACCACAACTATATGAAAACAAGCACACAACACTCCAGTTGACACTCGCTACTTCAAAAACACATTTGAAATAGAACCTAACTATTTTAAACACTTTCACTTTGGCAGTCTCAATCTTTCAGATTTGTTTAAGGGGCCCTATGATGCTAATGTTCAAGTTCAAATGTGTTGAGCCTCTACTGAGACATGTCTCCATTAGGGATGTGCATCTCCATCACTGAGGCCGATGCGATGCGCATCTCGATACGTTGCCACGATACGATACATTAACGATACATTTGAAACACCAGGCGATGCGATACGATACGATTTACCCCTGTTGCGATACAGTTCGATACGATTTGATTCAACATTATGCGATTCGGTGCGATACGATGCGATTCAACACGATGCAAAAATAATGATACTTCAATATGGTACGACAGAGGATTTTTGTTTTATTCCTTATATGCAGCAAATCATACATTAACAAAAAAGTGCTTTACATATTTGGTACTGCACATCCCATCATGCCGTTTATTTTTTTACCTTTAAAAGCTCTCCAGAGTACAATTGTATAACACCTCAAAACAATGTAAGGATGCATTGCTCATGATTAACAATATGCAAATAACAGCTACCATAGTGCAATGCCCATACAGCTGCCAGCCTGATGTGCTTAACACTCATTCATAGGCTAACTCACCAGTGAGCAGAAAGCAGTGGGTTCTATATGAACAATAAAGAATTCAAATAATCTTTCACAAACAGGTATTTCATAACTGCTTACAGTAAGGAAGACATTTAAATTATTATTGGCCGTCACAGGCTGCTGTAAACTAAACACCACTCTCTCTGACAGAACACCTCACTGAGTGATTTAACTCGTATGTCTAACTTTCAGGTTTCTCTTTTCAGCCGCAGACCCCATGTCGCCTCTTTATGTGCGTCGCTAAGTTCCTCGTACTACTTGTGTACTTTAAAGCGGCTCGGCATCGTTAACAATTTGCGAGAGATTTTTCAAGTTGACCGTCTCTAGTATATAGGGCCGCGCACATATACCATCAGGACGTTACTGATGGGGTGCGGCTGCGGAGTGATACTGTGTGTATGCAAGCCCGCATCTAGAACGGATCTATGTATCATGGCTGTAGACCTGTTAAGTAATAAAGATACCTCATACAAAGGTCTACGGATACCTTATTACTCTCCATGACCTGCGGTCAACTATATAGCCTAGCATAAAGGACTATTACACCGTCTTTCTTGAACAATCCGAAGTGTTGGCAAACGTTTGATTTGTAGGTATTTTTCGGTGCGCTGTGTTTCTCTTTCTCCTCAACTTCCGTGTGTGTTGATAGCTGACTCTCGGCCTTCGTAGTGGCGAAGCAAATATCAAAGATCTGAGCGCTGAGCGTTGACAAGATGAGGGGATTTTATATGAATGAATCGGTTTTTTACCGATGCAAAGACGCTACGCAATCGATGCATCGCGAGTTCAACCCGGTTCAACCCAAACTGTAGCTGATGTGCACTCTTTCAACCGGTGCACTCGCATCTTGAACGTTTATGCCGGTGCACCGATGCGAATCGGTGAATCTTAACATCTCTAGTCTCCATGCTTTAATGTTCAAAAAGCTTTTTCTCATACTGCCTGTGCTGCAGCACCTCTTTTCACCCTCTGTCTGAAACCAGAGCCCAGGGGAGGAGTGTGTGGGAGAGAAACTCCCTCTGGAGGGAACTTTGGGATTTTTACCTTTGCAGACCATTTACATGCACACAAACCTATATACCATACTGTGTGTTCTCAGGGCCTGCAGAAGCCCTCTCTGGAGGAGATCCTGCACGCCAGGAACGCCATCTTCAGTCCCTCCATGTTTGGCTCCTCCCTGGAGGAGGTGATGGCGCTGCAGAAGGAGCGTTACCCAGACAACCAGCTGCCCTGGGTGCAAACCCGCCTCTCTGAGGAGGTGCTGGGGCTCAACGGAGACCAGACAGAAGGTATCTTCAGGTAAGTGAACTGTGAACATACCGGGGGGGGTTGCAGAGTATGAAGACAATGCAAGTCTGTACACAATTCTAATTCTGCACGGAATACTCGCATGTTGACAAATTGCCAATGAATCTTGCTATTCATATTTTGTTGCTGATCCTGCACCGTCTGTGCCATAAAAGGTGCCGTTACATAAAATGTATTATTATAATTTTGCTACTTGGTTCTACCTTTAGAAAATGTAAAACTGGGTGTTTTCCAGAAAGCATTCAGCTCCAGTCAGGGTATAAAGCGTACAGTGGCTGACACTAAATGAGGGGCTGAAGGGTAACCACACTCTGACCTTTGACCTCCAGGGTACCGGGAGACATCGATGAAGTTAACGCCCTCAAACTGCAAGTGGATCAATGGAAAATCCCCACAGGACTGGAAGACCCGCACATCCCAGGTGAACACACACACTGTTAGATAATGCACACACACACTGTTAGATAGCAGACCTGCTTCTGGTTCCACACTGCTGACATGTACAAAAAATCCACTCACATCGACCCCAACAGCAACCCCCCCGCAACATCAACATGGTGTGTAACAAGAGGTCAGCAGAGTAAAAGTTTGGTTGGGGTGTGTGTGTGTGTTTGTGTGTTTGTTTGTTTGTGTTTCCAGCGTCTCTGCTGAAGCTGTGGTACAGGGAGCTGGAGGAGCCTCTCATCCCTCACGAGTTCTACGACGAGTGCATCAGTCACTATGACAACCCAGAGGCCGCTGTCACCGTGGTGCTGGGTCTGCCACACATCAACAAACTGGTGCTGTGCTACCTCATCCGCTTCCTACAGGTAACACACACCGATGCACACACTAGGGTGACCGGAGGCCTGTGCTACGAAGCCAGTTCAACAGACCCTGAATTTTGTTTTAAGTTATCGTAGTACAGCCATCTGGTGCCAACAAGCCACATGTTGGACAATGAGTGTGTCTGTGCAGGTCAATGTTGGCATTCTATATAATGACCACCTCTTTGGTTTTTCTTAATGAGCCAGGCTTTTCTCGTATGTAGACTCGTTTCAAATCGTATTCACCTCTATGCGTGATAGAAAATAAACTGGTCGAATGTCACAACAACTCTGGGATTACCAATCCACCAGCTACGCCCTTAAACCAATACATTTACAGAATGTGTTAATTGATTGAAATCTGATACAGCTAATGGTTGTAGCCCAATCTTGCTTTCTAAACTGCTATTGGATAAAAGCAACAATTAAAGATTGTTACATCTTCTGAATATGTGGGACAAATTATAATAAATATTGTGCAGTGCTGCATAAAGTCACCTAGTCATCCTAGCACACATACATACACAGTTGCACACAGAGATACAGACACGTACACACATACATGCATAAACACACACATACACTACACACACACTTTAACCCATACTACATCATAAGGCTGTAAAGACTTCTTAAAGACATAGCCACAAAGCAAGTATTCACATGCTGCATGCAACCCCCCCCCCCCAAATCCTTATGTGATAGCAAATGTCTATAAAACATCTTGAATCTGAGTTAAGGCGACCTTCAGACTGCTGTACGTTGTGTGTTCAGGTTTTCGCCCAGTCTGACAATGTGACCATCACCAAGATGGACGTGAACAACCTGGCCATGGTGATGGCCCCCAACTGCCTGCGCTGCCAGTCCGACGACCCCCGGGTCATCTTCGAGAACACCCGCAAGGAGATGTCCTTCATCCGGGTGCTCATCCAGAGGCTGGACACCAGCTTCATGGATGGAATTCTATAGCCCCCCACCACACGCAAACACAGAACCACACACACACACCGTCCATAATGAACCCCTTACGCTCCCGTTAACCCCCCCGCCACTCCCTCCCCCAGCACATCGTACACACACACATCGTTGCCTCTCCGACATGTTTACTTTTCTGGGACTTACAATACTGCCTTGTTTTACTGCTGTACATTTTCAGTTGAGCCAGTTGTTTTTTTCTATCTCTCTGTAGATGTAGTCCTTTAACTGACATTTACTGAAGAAAGAAAACACTATTTCTGTTGCAAGGTTTTCATATGCTTACAGCACTGTGTGTGCCTTCACATGCATTATTACACACATACAGTCTGAAGAAACAGCAGGGAGCTCATCAGGATCTTTTATTTTTTGGCTTGACGTCGGTGTCTCCGACACTCTCTCAAGGGTTCATTTTAAATCTGTGTTTTGTACCAAATTATTTCGTTTTCCAACACTGTCACACTGAAATTAACATACACATAGCCGTACATGCACATTCTTAAAAGTCCTTTCCCCAGAGTTTCACCTTCTGCAGATCCTGCAGTGTACGATAGCATCTAACGCAACTATCACTGAGGTGAATGATGCATTAACATGTCGCTCACACTAAGCTAAGCAATGCGTTTGTATGGTTCAGTACCAGATTTTCACAAGATGTAAAGCCTGACTGCAACATTCCCTCAGTACTGTTATACTGCTGAGATATTGCTCAGACAGAAGGGTAAAGGTGAGCCTGGGTCCAACATGTTTAACACTGCCACAGCTGGGACAGAAACCAGATGACAAAACATCTGGGTGACATCATTCCATTAGTCAGGTGTCCAACTTTAAACAAGTGTAGCTGTAAAGAAAGACAGTGATAGGGGCTTCATCAGTTCTAGTTGTTGTTCAAGGCTCCAAGATGTCCCCCATCTTGGCTTTATACACACATTCGCATAAACTGTTTTCAGCTTGTTTTAATTGTTAAGCCTGAAGTGAACACAGCATACATCATTGATGAATGATTTTCAATCCTTCCATTAATTTTCCAGGCATTTCTGTTTTAAGTTAGTTGATTTAATTCATTATATCATTAGGAAATAATGTGATGTATTGCTGGGAAAAAGTGACAAAACTACATTGATGAATAAATCTACACCACATTGTCACTAGTGGTTTTCCATCATACTTTCATACCGTGTATGACATTGAGGGAAGTATTAAAGTGCATTCTATATGGCATTAGAAAGGTCTCAGAGAAACCCTGTTTATACTTCTGTAACTGTTGTATGCATATATACACCTTTACTATACTACTAACACACAACATAATATTAGTACATTAGACAAAATGAAGAATTTGGACAGCTCTGAGAACAGGCTCCATGCTAACAGTTAGCATACTTTAGCATATAGTCAGCTATGTTGAGTCTAGTGCTAAACCATTATCCAATTCTGTTGAGTGTTTGCAGGCACACTACTTAAAGTACCATCTATATAGAAGCTATAAGCTAAAACAAAGAAGACAAATGTAAAAATAATTTTAAAGCCATCCGACTGACTACATTTGGTTGTATTAGCTAACTTTAGCTAGCTAACTTTAGCCACCACAAGCTAATGGTCGCACTCGAACATTTGAGACTGTAACCGACAAACCCCAGTATGTTTTTCAGGGAGCATTATTATGATTGTTTTAATGTTCTCTATACGTTTGCTTTATACATACACAATGGTCAGTGGTAGTGCTCTACTGTTTGTAACAGTCTTGTATTCTACAGCGTTAGGTCATCTTGAGGGAATCTGGTCATGTCTGTCCTGCAGTCCCTGAACACAGTGCTCCAGGAATAGGGACGATTGCAGCACTGCCAATCAGGCTCCATCATAATGTTCAACACAGCATGCTCACACACACCCCCCACACACCTGACCCCCTTCCCTTCACGACTGCGCCCCAACAGGCCTTTCTGCTCACTAATGATTTGTGAATGTGTCCGTCCGTCTGTCATTGTTTACAAAATGTACCCATCTCTTGTGTCTATCTTGGTCTACGGGCGAGTACTGTTGTTTATTGTAATTCATTTTGCTGTATTTAACAGAATTTCTATGTTTTTTAACCTATTCATTTTATATGATTTAATTTATTTATATTTATTTGAGATTTCCTTCATGCCTTCTCAATATATTGTAATGTAGGCTCCAAGTGAGTGTTTTTGTTACAGCGCAAGTGTGTGTGTGTGTTGTGCGACTGTAGTTGTCAGTATGACTGTGTGAATGTTGCTGTGCTAGTTTGATTCATTTGGCTTTTTTGGTGAAAACGAACCATCGTGAAAAAACACTTCCACCTTAAAGGTCCAGATGACACTCAGACTCACAGGTCGTATTTGGCTAAATATTGTGTGACGACTGAGTTGTGTCGCTGTGTGTGTGAAGTGCACCTCACTCACTTAACATACACACTCCACAAAGATGTACATTGACACTTTAAAGTCTGTAAAATAAGTATATAGAGAAGAAAAACACCATAGGTTACAGTGGAAGTTCATTTTCTTATTTCCTCCCATGTTGGTGTACATTTTCGTCACTTTTATGGAGGCAATTCGAACACATCTCCAGAGTTCCTTTCGAGTACCACAAAGTGTTTTTAAGCCCTGATACCTTTAACTGTGTGTCTGTTTCATATTCTGCAAGAAGTGATTTGTCTAGAGGGTTTTTTTTTATTTAAGTAAAGTTCTGTGAAAGATTCGTTGTTGAGATTATAGGTCTCAGAATTTGGCAGCTGTTTCACCGTGCTGCGAATATTCTGTGCAAAGAGAGACAGACTAGCTACTTAACCCCACACAAATTGATGCTAACGTCCTGTCCTCATAGTGGGGTTGCCAGGTTTAAACACTGTCCTAACTGCACCAAACGCAGGTTACTAAGAGATGAATTGGTGACTAAGGCTAACAAGAAGCTTCATTAAAAGTTTGCTTCCTATCTGCTAACGGAGACTTTTGGACATACCAGATTACCACGACAGTTTTAAACTTTTAAATGTTTTCACGTTATTGTTATTGAGGACCTATTTTCTTGTTTAAGGAAAGCTCATTTGTCCAGCCAATCATTTCTTAGAGAAAATTCAAATTAACTCAAAAATAATAAGAAATCATATGAACAAACGTATCCCTTATTTGACAACTGACTTCTTTATGATGTTTGAAACGGCCATTTTGTTCCCTCTGTAAATTCACAGTGAATGCCAGGCTGAAATATCGCGGCAGTGTGTACGAGTGTGTAAGTGGTGTGTGTTTGTGCGAGTGTCATTGTTTTATGTAAGAGATGGTTGTAGATAGACCCGGCAAATCAACCGATTAGCATGCAGACATAGGGTCTTCACTCTCTTCGACTTGAATTTACTAAAAAATATGAGAATATACAATGAAAAACTAATTTACAGAAAATAAGTGTTACAGTATTTAGCTTTAAAAAATCCACTAAGAAAAAGATTAAACTCTTTTAATCCGTTTTTTCTGATTGTTTTTTCTACTTGGTTCCTACTAATGATGATTTGGTAGTCGATGTCGATGCTGTTCGTCTAATTTAAAGAAAATGACCGTGAGGAGGAGGAGGTGTGAGATAGCTGCTGTGAAACTTCTCTTCACCTCGACGTCAATCCTCCAAGTTTTTCTTCGGTTGTATCTTAATGTCCACTGTCACTCACACTCTGTCCGAGGGAAGACTCTGGAAGTGTAACGGATGTTGGTTTAATAAAAGATTCAAATGTCAAACTGATGGGGTGCTTTTTTATTTTAAAACTATGCCACTCTTTTTTCATCCTAAAGCTCACTTTTAAGTCCCAGTACGCTTAACTGCAGGTCTTTTTCACATTCTAAAAAGAGGTGATTTGTCTAAAATATTTCTTTAATTTAAGTACAATTCTGAGAAAATGTAAATATGTCCGTGAGATTATGGGTCTCAGCAGCTGTATCACCATTCCTTGCTGAGCCATTCACACGCCAATGCGTAATAATTAAAGGGGCCCTATTCTTCTAATTTCAAGTTTATATTTGTATTTTGTGCATCTTCTGTGACATGATTTCATGCTTTAATGTTCAAAAAAAGCTTTATATTGAACATACTGCCTGTGCTGCAGCACCTCTTTTCACCCTCTGTCTGAAGCCAGAGCCCACTAAGAGATGTCACACACTTATCCTAACAATTACACTGTTTTAGAGCAGTAGGCAATAGAGGCACAAGTGTTACAAAGGAGTCCAATGGAGACGTTTCAGGCAGAGGGGGAGTGTGTGGGAGAGAAACTCCCTATGGAGGGAACTTTGGGATTTTAGTCTTTGCAGAGCGTTGACAAAAACCTATACAACACACTACTGGAAAGGGACAACCCCAAATAGCAATCAAGAATGAAGGACAAATAAGACCCCCAGAGCTTTTAGACGTGGTGAATATGACTTTTATTTGAATCAAATGAACACTGCCCAAGTTATCCAAGATGTAGGTGTGGTTTGATAAATTAAAGAAAACAGTTAAAAAAAATGTCATTAGTTTCTCAACTGAACCAAACTGCTGAGTCATTCTTCTGTCAAAGAGACAAAACACGAAGAGCTAACTGTTCAGACCCCTTCCCTCCAACTGGCCTTAGTTCACATGTTGCTGATGTAGTCAGCCATGGTGTTGGAGGAACTCCATCCCTCCACCAGTGAAACACAGAAGGGCTGCAGCCTGTGCAGAGCAGAGCTCCAGGTGTCGGGGTCTCTGTCCCCTGGGTTCTTCCTGAGGTCCAGGGTCAGTCTCTGGGGTGGGGGGTGTTTCCTCAGTCTTCTAGAGAACTCCAGCAGCTCGGCAGGAAGGATGAAGTTGGAGCTGTTCAGGACAGACAGCACATAAGGATCAGTGTCGCTGACACCAGCAGAGGATCAGAATAGTGTTACACTATCTGTAGTAATAAGGTCATAATATGAACTACATGTCGCTAAATCCACCCCGGAGCATAAAGAGAAGGGTAACCAGGCAACCATGCCGCTGCTTTTGGTGTATTTTGTGGCGTACAGCGCCACTTACAGGCCCGGCATACTACAGCAGGTCGAGCGGTCTCGTGTGGACGGAAGACTTTTTTGAAATCGAATTCGGTTAGTTTTAGTCTCTGTGTAGATGCAGCCTAAATGAGCAGCAGAGAGGTGTTGGAGCCTGAGGAGGCTACTGCTGACCCTCACCTGATGTTGAGTCTCTTCAGTGGGCTGGGGGAGGGTCCTGAGAACAGATCTGCCAGCACACACACGTTCTTAGCTGTGGACACAGGCAGGCACGTTATTAACACAGGAGATTTGGAGATGCACATAAAGCACTTTTCTGTTAAGAGGGAGACAAATTGAGACGGTGTAAAGATGTTTTTCATTAAATCAAAGCTGCAATAATTCAAATATTGGCTGGATAACAAGCAGAGATCATTAACATATCATTATCTTAAAAGCTCACAAGGGGAACATTTAGCAACCAAAGTCCAACACTGAGCAACATAAGGGTTTAAATAAATAAATGGAAGTCCAATAGTCTCGCTCTATCTAGCTCTGATAAGCTCTCCACCAACAATGTTCTCTCTGTGGGTCATTCTGAATGCAACCTGTGATAGCAAAATAAAGACGGTAGATAGACGGTAGACGGCTAAGATTAAACCAAGTTTGAGTTGGGATTTATGTAATGCATTCTGAACTGCCGTGTGAAGATGAACAAGGCACTCATGATTAAAGGAACAGACAGTTTAGCTGAAGGAAAAGTAAAAAGGGGAATGAACATGCAGTTCTCTCATTTATCCAGGACAATGACACATTCAGGACACGCTGGATCTCATCAATCAGCAGCTCTTAATAAACAGTTTGGTTTTGATAGACCGTAAAACAAATCTAAATTAATCCCATAATCAACAGGAAAATAATCTTTACCCACATTTGTTTTATCATTGAACAACATAAGCAAATAGAAGTCAAAGTGTGCAAGTTGAATTGATAAGAAACCAGTTTGCTATGAACATCTCAAAACAAAGAGCGTAGAAATGTTTGTGCTGATGTAACATCGCTTGGCGTGTCAGGTCAGAGTGCAGCGCAGTAATGATGAACTCTGGCCTGAATCACAGCACTGGAACGGTTGTGAGAGAAGTGCTTACCGATGCGATTCTGAGCCAGGCTGAGTGTGTGCAGAGAGGGCAGCGTCCTCAGAGCACACACCAGCTGACGCAGACTCTCCTGCTTGTCGCTCCACCTCTCCAGAAGGCGGCAGTCATTCAGGCGCAGCTCTGAGGAAGAGACACAAAAACAAAACAGTTCCACTGCACTGAGCTCTGGACATACTGATCGAGGTGAATACTTTTAAAAGAGCCACGTTTCGCTTGTTGTGTCGGCTTGACTGAAAGAAAATAACCTGGAATGCCACCTGAGTCCTTACTAAAGGCCACAGTCTTCATTCATGTGTTAGAAATAATTTAGCTAGCTCTCATCCACTTCAATAACAATACTGCACATATTTGATTAGATTATTTCAAGTTCTTTGCAATAGTATACTGCAGGTCGTTTTTTGTATATCCAGATTCAATGTAAATCATTTTCTGTATCTTATCATATAATAGTTGGTGCTTTTTACTTACTTTCTACCTTTAACTGTGTTTATGTATGCACCATGTACACCAAGGCAAATTCCTCGTGTGTGTTAACACGACCTGGCAATAAACCTGATTCTGATTTGTATTTTTTCCTAAAATGTAGGTGATAAATTGTATAAAGCAGCTTTAAAAACACTGAGAAAACGTAATCTTGGGCTCCACATCATGTTATGAACACAAGGTGGAGATGTTGGCCACGAAAATGTTAAAGGGGACCTATCATGCAAAATGCACTTTTGTACATCTTTTATACATGAATGTGTCCCCGGTGTGTCAGGGAACTCACCAAGTGTCAGAAAACACAACACTCTCTCTTTTCCTACATACCCAAATCTCTAAAAACGGGGCTGCAACGGATCTGATAAAGACTGATCCAGATTTGAAAATTCTCTGACGTCAGGAACGAGGAGCTCTGCCTATATGGCCAACTCTCCACCTATCAGGGGAGTGGGGGGTTGCGCCACGGCCGGCCATTGCCGCTCGAAAGCGCTGGAGACGCTGTAGTACATATGCCAGGCTTGTAAGTGGCGCTGTAGTCTGCCACAAAAGCAGCGAAGAAGATTTCCCGCGCATGGTTGCCATGGTTGCCCTTCTGTTTATTCTCCGCTGTGGCTCTTTTTCTCCCTCCCCAAGGCAAGCGTTTGCTCCCGCTGCTGTAATTCAATGCAATCCCTCCCCGTCGAGGCAAGCACTGTAATTCTCTCCGGTTTGCCACCAGCAGATGACAAACACCCACCTCTCCGCCTCCTCCAAGGAACGAGGGGACCGTGCGGCAGAGTTTCAGTTAGATTTGTTTTCGCCGGTCAACATGTCCGTTAAACTTTAAATCTTCCGGACAAAATTAGAAAAGTGCCGGTCAAAGGTCTTCTTTGTTATTTATTGAGCTTTAAAACAAATGAATAATGACTCCATATAATCATATAAGAATAAAACACGGAGGACAGAGATCTCTTTTTCTCCCCCTCTTCTGACAGCCCAGCAGCTGATCAGAGCACGCTCCCCTCTCCTGCAGGGGGGCGTGGTCAGCTGCAGCTCATTTGCATTAAAGCTACGTCACAGAATCAGCCCCCTGCAAAAACAGGGCTGGAAAGGAGCAAATAGAGCGAAATGAGGCATGGCTAAAACGCAGGATCTGTTTGGTATTTAGAAAAAAAAACTTCAAAGACATGTTTTATATAGGTATGGCCCTACAATATATTGTTCAAATATAGCATGATAGGTCCACTTTAAATCCCGATTCCCGCCAACAGTGCAAAATACAATATACTTTAGAAAAATAAAATAGCAAGTCAAATAATGCAAAATAAATTATGCCAGTGATAAAATGGTGGAAGTTAAACGCATGAATTAATCATCTATGTACATGTAAGATAACATAGGTTAAAACTGAATGTATAATTCAATAATGTGCAGTGGAATAAACACAATATGAAATATAAGTTTGTGGATATTTGAGAATAAACAGATGTACAGCAGGCCAAAATATAGGGTCTTGCAAGAGAGACAACCGTGTGTGAGTGCAGGACATCACTTTAAAACGAGTATTAGGGTGCGTTCACACCTGCCTTGTATAGTCCGGTTGAATCGTTTAATGGTGCGTTTAGCCGCTTGGTGCGGTTCATTTGGGTCGGTGTGAACGCAGTCCGAGACCTCTGAAGTGAACTAAACAACCGGACTCTGGTCCGCTAAAATAGGTGGTCTCGGAGCGCTTGCTTGCTAACTCTGGAGCGGTTCATTGCTGGTGTGAACGCAGTCCGCACCAAAACATAGGAAGCGTAGTATTTACGTGTCACAAGAACGCTCTTCAAAAATCTTCAGCGAAAGATTCTTTCAAGACATCCGCGGTTGTTTAGTTAAAGAATGAAGCAGAATGAAGTGTTGAACAGTGTCGTGTAAAGTAAAAATGCTCCGTCAGTTACATAAAAGTAAGAACACCTGTCGTCGGTGAAACCTCCTCCTTACTGCAGAACGTCTCTCATTATGTTATAATGTTTTTTTAACGGACGTTGTCAGATTATATAATCATATGCGCGGGCCGCTAGTGTCTGTTGATCTCCAGATTAACAGCAGCATGAGAATAACCTGCCGAAAGTGCCGATGCTCCATGGCGGAGGCTCCGGT